CCAATCTATCATCATTCCATCATGCAGGAGGAGCCACATGTCTATGGTGCATCCAACAAAATAAGCAGACTCTTGGATGCCGCTACTGCCCGGCTCCAAACGAAATGTAAACTTTGCTAGATGGACTATTGTCACACCTTGCGTCATTGTGTACTGGAGTGCGATAAAATCATGAATTTAGAGACAACTCACTCAGAAATGTTCAAGATATGTTAAGTATTTTATCCACAGTGGTATTATAACACCATTCTGGAGAAATACCCTGACTTTGCTCCTGTAAATAAAGCATTACCACGTGTGTGTGTGTGTGTGTTAGTTACATTTTGTCTAGGCACATGTCGATTAGACACTAGGCCTGTTCTATGATGGTGTGTGTTGTGTGTGTGTGTGTGTGTGTGTGTGGTGTGTGTGTGTGTGTGTGTGTAGTGTGTGTGTGTGTGTGTGTGTGTACTCACCTAATTGTGGTTGCAGGGGTCGATACTCAGATACTCAGCTCCTGGCCCCGCCTCTTCACTGGACCGCTACTGGGTCCTCCCTCTCTTGCTCCATGAGCTTTATATACCTCGTCTTAAAACTATGTATGGTTCCTGCCTCCACTACATCGGCTTCCAGGACTATTCCACTTCCTAACAACTCTGTGGCTGAAGAAATACTTCCTAACATCCCTTTGACTCATCTGAGTCTACAGCTTCCAGTTGTTATCCCTTGTTTGTGTGCCCCCTCTCTGGAACATCCTGTCTTTGTCCACTTTATCTATTCCACGCAGTATTTTGTATGTCGTTATCATGTCTCCCCTGACCCTCCTGTCCTCCAGTGTCGCCAGACCGATTTCCCTTAACCTTTCTTCGTAGGACATTTCCCTTAGCTCTGGAACTAGCCCTGTTGCAAACCTATCCACTTTCTCAAATTTCTTGACGTGCTTGAACAGGTGTGGGTTCCAAACTGGTGTTGCGTACTCCAGTATGGGCCTGACGTGCACAGTGTATTGAGTCTTGAATGATTCCTTACTGAGATTACGAAACGCTATTCTCAGGTTTACCAGGCGCCCATATGCCGCAGCAGTTATCTGGTTAATGTGTGCTTCTGGCGACGTACTCGGTATATACTCACCCTAGTTCTTTCTCCTTGAGTGAGGTTTGCAGTCTTTGGCCACCTAGCCTATACTCTGTCTGCGGTTTTCTTTGCCCTTCCCCGATCTTCATGGCTGCATTTGGCGGGGTTAAATTCTTTCTAGGAGCCAGTTGCTGGACCACGAGTCCAGCCTGTCCAGGTCTCTTTGTAGACCTGTCTGGTCCGCATCTGATTTACTATACATCAGGAATGTTCCAGAAAGTACCAGAAGATAAGATTCCATGTAAGATCCCTACATGTTTACCTACTATCATTTTACTACCCTGCAACAAAACACATACTAAATATTGTAATAATAACTGTATTCCTAGATATGATAAGCCTGAGTGTCTTCTATCATTAGGAATAACTTTAGTTTTCTGGGCAATTTACACATGCTGCTAGTAAGTTATAACAGTCGCCATCACCTATATGTTGCTAGGTATGATAGTTGCAGTTACCTTAACCTGTGTATTTCAGGATATTCTTAAAAGACTGAATGTCTATCACTCAGTTCCCAGTTACTATGTCTACCTTTCTTGGGTTATCCCAGGTTATCCTTGTTGAACTCTTGCTGCGAGAGTAGCATGACTGTCTCGCGATTGGCAGACAGAGAATGAAGGCTCCATAACATCTTGAGCTTAATTATCCATATGGGTTATCGCTCCACATATATAAATAATAATCTCCACCTTACTGACGCTGAATGACCCACACGAGTTTAATAACTTAACATAAATACAAGTAAATTACCTGGTTTATCTGCCAGGGCGTTACCATCCTGTGCATGACAAGAACCCCTCAGACCAATCTGGAAGGTGGCGTGGGGGTCTATGAGGTCTTCTTCGAGCGCTCTTCTGAAGGGTGATCCATGGTTGATCTTGGCTCCTAGGGTGATGTCTGATACATCAGGATGAGCATCCACAAGCACCAGTCCCACCCTGCCTCTCCGAGCCTGCCATAAGAAGCAATATGCCCTATACTCAAAAATAAAACTATACATACTTAACCCACTATTATATATATATATATTATATATATATATATATATATATATATATATATATATATATATATATATAGAGAGAGAGAGGAGAGAGAGAGAGAGAGAGAGATAGATAGAGATAGATATTTCGCATGGTGATAGATTTAGATTAGATTTTGCCACCGAAGTGGCTAGTTTATTGTGCACCCCATATCCATCCTGTGGACGTGTTGCGCGAGAGCATGTGGATACACAAAAGGCCTAGGAACTAGGCCCCAAAGGGTTAACAGGAATACATATGGATTTATATCTACATATCTATAGTTCACTTATCTGTTACAAGCAAATTTAGGAAATTTGCTTAGTATATCTGGTATCTTATTTTCATTAATAAGATATCTTGACATGTCACATAGGTTATTATAATGTCTGTCTCTGTATTCCTCAATAAGTGGACAATTAAGCACATAGTGTTCAAGAGAGTGACCATATGCCTGATCACATAATTTACATTTAGTTTGATCATCATCTGTGTGTCTCCCAAACTGCCAGAAGTACTTATGGTGAGGATCTCTGTCTTGGAGTATTTTACATGTAAAACGTGATCAGGTTCGTTCAGCCAAGAAGTAAATATTCTCTTTCTTTCATTTCTGTTAGTATAATGCTAGGTGCGAGCTTCGTGCCGGAACTTACTTAAGAACAGTGCTCTACGAGATTCTGTTCAGATATATATACCAAAGAGTCTTCAGATTACTAGTCTCACAGATATCCTTTTCTTTGACAGTTGAAATATAACCCTAGTAATGTTCGAAGAATGGTATGTAATTGAAAAGAAGATGAAGATTCCGTTAGGATAACCCTATGAAGAGAGGAAATCATTAAAGGAAAGTGACAACAAGGTTTAACATACGTATGCTAAGTCTTTCCTTCCTGGCCATGAAATTTGCTTCTGTTTTTTTTTTATTTAAAGCTTTCCTGCTAGGCGCTCTTGGAATGACATACATTTTGAGATCACTTTCTTCCCTTCTAACAAAAGAAAGGTTATATATGTAGTTAGTGAGGGTTACCTTGATGGCCTGTAGGATGGGGTAAGTGATGGTGTGGTCGCCGCCCATCGTCAAAGGAATACAGCCAGTGCTGAGGAGTTCCATATAGCGATCCCTGATGTTGTTGCACGCCTCAGGTAAGCTGTGGATGGGCATTTGCAACTTGTATATTTACTACCAATTCAGAGTCATGTACTTATATATCTGTTATATCTATGTGACTCTGAGGGGTTAGTATTATACCCCTTTAAGAATATTTTATTATTTCACATACACCTTTTAAATTACACCAAAGTGGTTGGGCCACTTACCTTTTATATCCTACCTCTCTCCCCCCTCCCACCCTTTTCCAATATTTCTATCCTTACCCATCTTACCAAAGCTCTAGTCATAAGAAGAAGAAAAAGGGCCATGGCACCTTCAGTGTGTGTAATTACCGGTTGTAAAAGGCACTTGTCGAAAGACACTTTTTTGTTTTGTGTGTGTGTGTGTATATATTTTGAGTCTGAGTGAGTGTGTGTGTGTGTGTGTGTGTGTGTGTACTCACCTAGTTGTGGTTACGGGGTTCGATTCACAGCTCCTGGCCCCGCCTCTTCAACTGGCTGCTAGCCAGTCACTCTTCCCGCTCCTCGAGCTTTACCATACCTCTTCTTAAAGCTATGTATGTATCCTTCCTCCACTACATCACTACCCAGACTATTCCACTTCCTGACAACTCTGTGACTGTCCACCTTGTCTATACGTCTCAGTATTTTATATGTCGTTATCATATCCCCCCTATCTCTCCTGTCTTCTAGTGTCGTCAGGTCGATTTCCCTTAACCTCTCCTCGTAGGACATACCTCTTAGCTCCGGGACTAGTCTTGTTGCAAACCTTTGCACTTTCTCTAGTTTCCTTACATGCTTGGCTAGGTGAGGGTTCCCAACTGGCTCTGCATATTCCAATATGGGCCTAGTGTACATTGTATACAGGGCCCTGAATGATTCCTTATTTAGATGTCGGAATGCTGCTCTGAGGTTTGCCAGGCGCCCGTATGCTGTAGCAGTTATTTGGTTGATGTGCGCCACAGATGTGCCCAGTGTTATACACACACCAAGATCCTTTTCCTTGAGTGAGGTTTGTAGGCTCTGACCCCCTAGACTGTACTCCGTCTGTGGTCTTCTTTGCCATCCCCAATCTTCATGACTTTCCACTTGGTGGGGATGAACTGCAGGAGCCAGTTGCTGGACCAGGCCTGCAGTCTGTCCAGATCCCTCTGTAGTTCTGCCTGGTCCTGGTCCGATTGAATTCTTCTCAACTTCACATCATCTGCAAACAGGGACACTTCGGATTTCATTCCTTCCATCATGTTCACAAATATCAGAATCAGCACTGGTCCTAGGACTGATCCCTGTGGCACCCTGCTCGTTACAGGCGCCCACTGTGACAACTCTCCACGTACCATGACTCGCTGTTGTCTTCCTGACAGGTATTCCCTGATCCACTGTAGTGCCTTCCCTGTTATCCCTGTCTGGTCCTCCAGCTTCCGCACTAATCTCTTGTGTGGAACTGTGTCAAACGCCATCTTACAGTCCAAGAAAATGCAATCTACCCACCCCTCTCTCTCTTGTCTTACTGCTGTCACCCTGTCATAGAACTCCAGTAGGTTTGTGATGCAGGATTTCCCGTCCCTGAAACCGTGCTGGCTGTCGTTGATAAGCTCATTCCTTTCTCGGTGCTCCACCACTCTTCTGATAATTTTCTGCATGACCTTGCATACTATACACATCAGTGACACTAGTCTGTAGTTTAATGCTCCATGTCTTCCCTTTTTTTTAAAAAATTGGGACTAATTTGTGTTTCCATATTCCCTTTCGTTG